GTAGTGCCACAGCCCTCTACCCTCCAATCAGGCAGCAAAGGAGGAGCCCAAGTTGGGCAGCAGGATCCAGCACAGCCCTGGCTCCTTAGGGGAAAGGGCGGGACTGGGAACAGGAGCCAGGTCACCATTCTCCACAGTGGCCGCTCCTCTGAAGACGCGAGTTCTATGTTCCAGGCCCGGCTCCCTGGACTATTGCTCTGACTTCCTCCCAGCCTCCTTCAGACAAACCATTCTCCACAGAGCTCTCTTTCCCTCCAGTCTCAGCGATGTTACAAACAAGCTTCAGAATGGACTCTTTGGGTTTTCCTTCTCCCCCTGCATCCCTGGAGCCATCTCTCTTCCCTCTTTAGATAGAGCAGGAAACTCCAGTTATGTAAGACAAGCTCTCTTGGGAGGAAATGCTGGCATTTTCTCAGAAAAATCATAAAAGGAGCTTAAGTTTAAGGGCAGTAATCCTGACTCCTGCCATTCAGCAAATTCCTGTGGCTGATCTATGCCAGGCACCAGGAAGCAAAGGAAATAGACACCAGGCTGGAGCTTGCAGTCACTAGGTAGAACAGGAGACACGAGAAACACACACACACCAGACCTCAGAGGGTGCAGTGAACAAATGAATGTGGGGAAACAAAGAAAGGAGGGTATGACTTTAGATAGTGAAGTCAGAAACAGCTCGAGGGAGGCAGACCTCTGTGCAAATCTCTGAAGGGGTGAAGAGGACCCGCAGACCCGTGGGAAGAGGACCTGGCTGGCCCAGGGCCCAGGGCCCTGGACAGGCAGCAGAGTGGCATCCTAGCAGCCTCCAGAGCAGCAGGGTCAGCAGGAGAGGCTGTCGTGCCTGGGGCAGGGTGTGCTGGGCTCTGGCAGTCGCTGCAGCCCTTATCTTCCAGTGATCAGGGACCCTGGGGACCTCGCCCCCAGTCCCGTAGCCACGCCACTGGGGGCATTGGAGCTCAAGTGAGGGGAGCTTCATTGAGGTCACAGGAGCCCAGGAGTTTAGAGCAGAGATGGAAGGGCAGAGGTTGTGTGGAAGACAGGAAACAGAAGGGCAGCCAGGCTTGATGGCGCATAACTTTTACCCCATACTCTTGAAAGCTGAGGCAGGAGGATCACACCTTTGAGCTCAGCTTAGGCAATTTAGGTACCTTTGGAAACCCTGGCTTAAAATTTAGAAACGTTAAAACAGTGTCGAGGATGTAGCTCAGTGTAAAGTCCCTGAGCTCAACCCCCAGTACTGGAGGAAAAACCACGCCTGGATTTAGGAAGAAAGAAGGGAAAGGTGGAGTGGGGGAGAGGGGGAGGCTCCAAGTTTAAAAAAACAAAGAAGAGCAGAAAATGTTGGGCGTCCTCCAGAGATCCTGGCACTGTGGAGCCAGGGCAGAGCCCATCTGAGAGCAGTGTGGAGGTCACGCACACTGACAGCCGAGGAGGCCAAGCTAGCGAGCCCAACACTCAGAGCGCACCATCTACATTGCTTACTCCATCTGCACACACTGGAGTCCGTGCCTTGAACTTCTAAAGCAGCCCAAGCTCACCTACGTGAAAACCACCAGCTAGGGTGACCCGAGGTAACAGGAGGACGGCAGCGAGGGGCCCTATGCATCTGAAGGTATGTGGGGTGTGTGGGGCTCCCTTTCTCATGTCTTGGAGGGACTTGGGGTCAGTTCTGCTCAACCTCTGGGAAAAGAAGAACAGCAACAAAAGTTGGCACTGCACTCTCTAAATCTGCCTGGCCAAGCTCCCAGGGACACCCAGGACACATCTGAAGCCAGGGTTCCTGCGCCAGCTCCATCCTGCGACCTCCCAACCTCATGCTAAAGATCAGAGGTGTCTCTCTGCAGAGACCTAGAACCTGCGCAGAGACCCCGAACCTCCAAGGGCTGGACCACTCTCACTGTCAGAGTCAGAGTCTGGCATCAGATGTGCAGCGCTGCCTTCTGAACTCCTGAGCGAATGAATGGGTAGCCATGGAGCTAAGAACGCCTTTGACGAAACATCAGTAGATACCAGAGAAGCTCTCCCAAAGTGCCCCGGGAACAAGCGCTGTGATAAGTAGATGCCACCTATCAGTCCAGCTCTCACTGCTAGGAGAGAAATAGTGTGTACTGCGTGATTTACGAAGAAAAGCAGTTAGCCAGGCTGGAACTGCCACATCAGGCACCTGAGTCCTGAAAGCTTTGAGCTGCAGCATGCTGAGACTGCAAAGCAGCAGCTCCTGTGCACACCTCCTGTGTGGAGGGGGAAAGTGTGCATGCGAACTACGGTGCCACTTGTTCAGTTGGCAGCATGAGAGTCCCCGGCTCACCGAGGACAACACCCACAAATACTCACAATGAGTGAAGGCCAGCATGTGCTGGATCCCTGGGCCTCTCCCTGGGCTCCCTGGTACTGGCCAAGCCGGTGGCTGCTCTGACCACCTGGGTCAGGAAGCCTGGAAACCCCACTCACCCACGCTCCAGTTCTAGGAAGGGAACTAACTGCACACAGCTCTGAGCTGCGACAAAGCGCATCGCGCCCAGAGCTGTCATCACGGAACCCAGGCAGGAGGAACTGAAAATTGGGTATCATGGGCAAGTGCAGCCCTGAGGAGGAGGTGAACCCAGGGTTCAGAGGCCATCGCACCCCAGAATCAGTGCTCAGGAGGGACAGTTTGGAGGAGCAGCATGGAGTCAAAGTATCGAAGATGCGGTCAGGGCAAAGCTCACGTGTGGCCTGTGCATGTGCATGCAGACCCCCACACATGCATGGTGCACATATGACTCATAGCTGCTCACCCTGGTGTGTTCTTCTTTCTCTTCTGTTTTGTAGGGAACATAATGAACTGATCTTTTTGTTTGAAAACCTCAACTTGTATTTTCACATATGTGGGACAGTTGGGCAACACTGGTCTTGCTCTTATAAATCAGAGTTTGCAGACACCTTTATCCCTTTCTGGGTTCTGCCTGGAAGAAAAGAGTAAGACCTAACCCTACTCCGGACACAGTAGTGCAGTCCTATAATCCCAGCACTCAGGAGGCTGAGGCTGGAGGATCACAAGTATGAGCCCAATCAGGCAATTTAGTAAATAGGAAAACCTGCCTCAAAAATTTGAAAACTTTAAAAAATGCTAGGTATATAGTTTGGTGCAAAGACCCTGGGTTCAAACCACAGTAATGGAGAAAGAAAAAAAAAAAAAAAAAGACTGGCTTTAGAGGGGAAAGAAGAAGACGGTGGAGGAGAGACGAGGTCCCAATTTAAAACAAGGGAAGGGAAGGCAGGGCCAGGGGGAGGGGGAGGCAGCTGCAGAGAACAGAAGCCATCCAGAGCCACCCTTCCCCTGTGCTCTGTGCCTTGGGGCCCAGGCCAGAGCCAATATGAGAGCGGGAGGGAAGCCGAACAGCAAGGCACAGAGCAGAGAGCACGCAGGAAACTGTTTATACCTGCTGATACCTGAGGATCCTGCCTGCCCAACCCAGGCAGGACAGAGCAGGGCTGGGCTGCTGGCTGACATCACCCGCCCAGCACAAGCCCAGAGTGCCAGGAAAGCTGGTCACCTTTGCCCTAGAGTCACTGTCCTGGGTGGCTGTCAGGCAGACAGAGTGTGTTGGGAAGAAAGAACCTGGCTCTCTGTCACCCACTCCTCTTCCGGGCCTGCTTCAACTCTGTCCTGAACCCAGGCTTTAGTGACGCCATGGTCCCCAGCTGCCCGCATCCCCCCTGTCCAGGAAGAGAACCAAACACTAGACGAAGGAATCAACAGAAGGGGAGGAGCTCAGAAAGGAAATTGAGGCAAGGATGCAACACAGACACCATCCTGGCGGGTCCCTCCCTGGGACACTCAGGAGCAGGAGCAGATCCCAGGCAGGGAACCGGCTGGGTGGCCCTGAGCTCAGGCACCAGGGAGCTGACCAGTGGGTGAAGCTCTGGATCATGATGGAGGGTTGCTCTGGGCAAGGCTTGCTAAGGCCCTTAGTCTGGACACACACTTGGGGTGTGTCACTGTGTACAGACACCATTCCAGGTGTCCACCGGAGAAGGGAGCAGAGCCACATTGGGCTCCCCAGGGGAGAAGCAGGAGTGGCCCATGGGCTCTGAGGTGCACCCCTCCACCACTCCTCACGACACCACTCTGCTCCGCATCCCAGGGCCCTGTCCCCAGTGTCCAGGCTGAGCTGGAAGATCACTGCTGCCATGCCAGAGACCCCCGGCTCTTGGCTCCCAGGGCAGCCAGCCCCTGCCCCAGGCCTGCCCCTGCCTGTGCCTCTGCTGGCTCTACATCCTGCTCTAGGCAGAACCTTGCATCCTTTGGGTCCCAGGAGTCCTCTGCCAGTGTCCAGTGCCCCAGCCTGTCCCCAGTCCTTTCTCTCCTTCTGTCTCCTTTCGCGACCTGGAGTGTCATCAGCCAGCCCCAAATTCCCTCCCTGAAGCTGGGGCTCAGGCACCACGTGCGGGGTCGCAGGGCTGGAAGGGGGACAGTCCCCACCGATACCTACCCTGCAGGTCACCAACACCCAGATTCCAAATATCACACACACACTCACACTCAGTATAAAGCACCTCATGGAAAACTCCTGTATCATTAAATGACATTTGGTGTAAAGGTTAAACGGACATTTTATTAACATGATCTCCCCTGTTCTTTTCACTTTCTTGATTTGCCTACCGGAAGTTTACAGCCACATTCGGTAGGTGTCCCAGCTCTGTGGGGGCCCCACCAGGTGTCGCCTTCAGACTCAGCCACCTGTGCCACCTGGGAGTAGTAGCTGGTAGTATAACTAATTGACTGATCCTGAGTCCTTAAGGAAAAGCCCCGTCCTTTCTTAAGTAAAGAGAAGTCGCTCCTGCTTGGCAGAGGAGTTTCCCAGGACAGGGCAGGACCTGGGCTTCCCCAATCTCTGCTCTGGGGATTCCCTGACCTCCGAAGACCCCTGGAAGCCAGGAATACTGTTCTCCCCTTTTCTGCTGAAACATCGTTCAGTGGGCGGAGTCGTAGCCCTGACGCGACCGGAAGAGGCGGAGCGCGCCGGGATAAAGGCGCCCTAGTGCCGTGGGTCCTCAGCTCCCGGTCCACTGCAGCCATGGCTCGCACCGCGCTCCTGCTGGCCGCTGCCCTGGTCGCCATGCTGTCGCTGGCTCTGGCCGCGGAGCCGGTGAAACGCCCGCGCCTGCTGGGCGGCCCGGAGGAGGCGGACGTGCGCGAGGAGGGCGTGCGGCGCGCGTTGGACTTCGCGCTCAGCGAGTACAACAAGGCCAGCAACGACCGCTTCCACAGCCGTGCGCGACAGGTGCTGCGCGCCCGCAAGCAGGTGCGTGTTAGCTGGCCTGCCCGCCTCGGCCTCCCGGGCTGCGGCCCCGCAGGATGGAAAAGCGGGAAGCGGGACAGGCACAAGTCTGCTCCGCGGCAGGGACCCTCGCTCTCCCCTCCCCCGCCCTTCCCGCTGTCTCAGATCATCCCTGCTGCAGCCTGGCCTGAACGCTGACTGGCACAGCAGCTGACACCTGACCCTTAGGTCTGGTCCAGGCTCAGCTGGCAGAGGCACCAGGCAGGGATCATGGTCCCGCCTTTACCGCAACAGCTGCCTCCCGAGCAGGAGCCCCTGTAAACTGAGGACCAAGGGACCACACAGCAGGGATAGGGAACCCGCACCTCTTCCTTCCTGGTGCCCTCTTCTCCAGACTCCACCCGCAGTCCTGTAGCTTCCTGCTCTGTCAGGACCTCAGATCTGCAGAGTAAGCACAACTGGAGCAGAGGGCATCTTGGGCACTATGCCTGACCCTCCCGGGGTCACCTTTGGCCATACAGGCCCAGCTCCCGGCTCCCCCTAGCATGTGGAGCTGTGTGTGGAGTGCGTGGATCCTCCTGGTCTTTGGAATGCACCCTGCAGTGGACACTGCCTAGTCACCAGGACCTGCCCTTCACGCCCAGGACCAGGCTGACCTCAGCAAGCCACACTCACACTCAGTCGCCACAGAGCCTCACATGGGGTGGCTACTGTCCACTGAGGACACTTCCTGTACAGATGGGTCCCTATCTCTAGGTGGGACAATTGTGCAGACACCTGCTGAACCTAGGTGTCGGTGTGTCTTTGAGAATGGACATGGTCAGCAGCAGGTCCTCTTCTCAGGCCCCAAAATGTGTGTCCCTCTGTCCCCAGAAGCCTGCTTCCCTCTGCGCAGCAGCAGAGGGGCTCCCTGGGCAGGATACCTGCCCTGAGAGAGGCCTGGTAGCCAGGAGCTGTGGGACTCAGAGCCAGGGTGGATAGGCCTCTGTCCCTGCTGCCATTGCCCTGGGCAGTGAGGCTGCTGCACCCAGCTTGTCGCTGCTTTGTACCTGGTGGCCTGTGTCCCCCGCGGGGCAGAGCTAGGGACAACACCAAAAAGTGCTGTGCGCAGGGTAGCGTGTGGAGCTCAATTTCCCCTCTGCAAACATCCAAATGAGTGGGGAGTGGCCCATCTCCTCCCACAGCAGCTGCTAACTACTGCTCTGGACATAGCCTGTACTTCCTGCTGCCATGGTCCTTGCTGTGGTCACCTCTTAGGATGACACATCTGGGGTGAAGCAAGGATGTTAGAGATCACAGATGAGAGATCAGTCCTGAGGGGACCTGAAGCCTCGCCTTCGCTGCATGCGGTGCAGTGCAGAGTGCTGTCCCAGGTTCCTGCCCTCAGGAGAGCCTGGTGCCAGGGAGTCCTCTCCTGGGCAGTGACAGGGTGGGAGGTGACCACCCAGTAACACTTCCCTCAACAAGGCCCTCAGCTGCTACAGGATATCTCCCTGTGGGCAGGAGGGTGCCCCCTCCTGCAGAGCCACAAAGAGGACCCGTAGGTGGGGAACCATGTCTCTGAGGGATGAGCTGTGCTTGGTTCTCAGGTCAAAGCTCTCCTGGAACAGCATCCAGTGGGTCCCGCTGGGTACAGAGCCTGCTCGGGCTGGACCCACCCTAACTCCTGGACAGGAAGTGCCGGCTCAGCTGCCTGGCCACTCCCCGAGTCGGCCTCCCTCACATGGCCCAGATCAGAGACCCCAGTCCCAGTCTCTGCTTTCTTCCTATACCCTCTATCTGACCACAACAGATACTTGGTTTCAGTAACTCCAGAAGAAATGAGCTGTGAGCAGGACCCGGCTGTCCTGTAGCAAGACTTGGCTTGCCACTCATGAGCGATGGTTTTGGCAGCTCCAAAATGCTGGCCTGAGCCCAGGGCAAACACACTGACTCATTAAGCAAAGCAGTAGCTGTGGATATGTGAACCACAGAGAGCTGTGAGTGAATCCTACTCTTTCCACTTTAGCTGGTGGCCGGCGTGAACTACTTCCTGGAAGTGGAGATTGGCAGAACCACCTGCACCAAGTCCCAGCCCAACCTGGCTGACTGTCCGTTCCACGAAGAGCCGCACCTGAAGAGGGTAGGGGCCTGCTGTGGGCGGGGCGGGGCCTGAAGCGGGGCAGTGTGAGTCTGTGTGCACATGCCCACATGTGTGCACGGAGGGGGGGGGTTGCTTCTGTGTAGGTACACATGAAGTGTGTGTTGTGTATATGCGAATGTGTGCTTGTTTGTGGGTTGTGTGGGAAGCAGTGTGCGCACCTGTTGGTCCTGTGTGGAGGTTGTGCACAGGTGTGCACATGTGGTGTGGGGAGTGAATGTGCATGTGTGTGTCCTTTGTGGAGTAGGATGTGCATAGGTGTATGTCGTGTGAGGAAATGACTGTATACCCATGTGTCCTGTGGGGGTGGTGTGTGTGTGTATATGTGTGTGTGGTGGTCAGCAGTAGATACCCTCAGGCGGAGGGAATGTGTGAGTGTGTGTACTGCACATCTGCACTGGCAGGACTGTGCACACAGGACTGACTGGAGTGTGGAGTGAGACCCTTGGGAAGCAGAGTGCTAGGAGGTGACTCCTGCCTTTGAGGTGCTCCTGCCGGGCGGAAGGGGCAGCAGGAGGGCTGGTGAGGAGGGAGAAGGCTCTTCTGAGTCCCCGCCTTGCTCCACTCAGAGCCAGGCTGAGCAGGTTGGGCCTGAGAGGGCTGAGATTCTGCTCTGCCCTTAGCCTCCAGCCCCTCCTGACACCCGGGTCCCTGGAGGCCTCACTCTGGGTACAGAGTTCCTATCACCCTGCCTACCCCACTTGTGTCTGGGTTGCCCAGCGTGGTTTTCCCCTGAGTTCCTCTCAATGCTGTCCTGGGCTGAGGTGGAGGTTCCAGGGCAATATGTACCTGCCCTTCCCAGCAGCCCCTGGGCTCTTGGCCCTGCCTGGCTGCTCCCTGGGTACCATGGAGGGAAGAGGACCTGGGATCCCTGAGCTGGGAACAGCACCATGCCGGGACTTCCCCTCCACCCTGCCCCACCCATGGCCAAGCATCTTCCCTTTCTCCTGCAGTCCCACTGATTGTCCTTCCCTTTTTTTTGCAGAACTCGGTCTGCTCTTTCCAGATCTACACCGTACCATGGGAGGGCAAAATCTCCCTCACCAAGTCCAGCTGTCGCGATGCCTAGGCTCTGTGCCAGGCTATGCCATGCTGCCCACCTGTTACCTGTGTCCTCTTTGGTATCCCCTTCCCTCGATGAAACTTAGCCCTGGCACAGTCTCCTCAGTGCCCTAGCAACTGGGCACCAGGAAAAAAGCTCCTGCGGGGAAGTTAGACACCCACGAGCTGTTCCCTCTTCCTTTCCTTGACCTTAACCACACCATTGCATGGGGCTTGCAGCCGCCCCTGCCTTGCTCAATAAAAACCTGCACCAGCTCTTAGGCAGTGTGGTCTTGGGGTACAGGGGAGGGATTGTGAACAGATAGGAGCTGTGCCCACTGGGCCATGCACATGGATGGGGCCAGGCCTGCCCCTTTGGCACCCCTGGGTCTCAGTGAGATGAAGTGCAGAGGGGGACCCTGTAGAGGCGCCGGCACAGCAGCCTCCCTCTGTGATTTTGTGCTCATCCTGCCCAAACTCTGACCGTAACGATGTCAAAGATCCCTGATCGTGGGCGCCTGGAGCCATTGAAAATGTTGGAAATACTACAAGAATCAACAGAATGAAAAAGAGATAGGAAGTGAGCACGTGCTGCTGGAAAAGTGTCACACATAGACCTTGGCAGCACAGGGTGGCTTCAGAACTGCCTCTGAGGAGAAGAACAGGCCTGTCCATGCCAGGACCCAAGGAAGAGGTGCAGGGGAGGTAGGGAGGCCACAGCTTCTGTGCCACCGAGGGCCACTTCCCTCCATGTCCACCTGTGCCCCCCGAGTGCCCTTCCTTGGGGTTTTGGAGACTGGTTGCATAAGTGTGTGGAAACAGCATTGGCCCAAAGGGCCTGAGCCCAGCAGACGCCCTCCAGGGTGTGGCTCAGCTGGGGCCCAGGGTCTCACCCTCTGCTCCAGGGCAGTGCTGGTCAGTCTGCTGGTGATTGGTGCCAGGACAGAAAGGAAGCTTAGAGGTTCTGTGACCGCCCTTGGAAGAGGGACTGGGGTCTCTGTGAGTCCAGCCCAGAGTCGGGGTAGGGCGGCTCTGGTGGACACAGTTTGTGAAGCCAGTAGGAGTCCTGTGCTGGTGTCTGAGGTGGAGCTGCTGCTTTCTCCAGGAATCGGCCTGTGTTCTCAATGCCTTGCCTAACTGGGGGCCACATGGGGGAGGTGGTCCCTGACCCCACAGACTCTCAGGACAGAGTGTTCCAGGCACCTTCCTGGCTATCAGCTGTGCTGTGCAGGAGCTGAGCAGGTAGCTGATTCTCTTCTTGAGGGCAGCAAGGGGTCTGGGGCTCTGGAGACCCAACCCTACTCATACCTCTGCTGTGATGTGACCCCGGCCTGGCCACACCATAGCTGGGCTGGATAGCAGTCAATGGGATACCTGAGCCAATCACCACTCAGGGTCCTTTCCTGCTTACAGAATCAGGTGGGCACGTGGTCCAGCTGTCACCATCTGAATAAGAACAGGAATGTGGCTCTGCTTTCCCAGCTGGAAGACTGCACTCGCTGTCCTGAAGTTAAACAGAAAGCACTCAGGCGAACACAGAATAAGCCCTGGCTGTGCATGCTATGGCAGGTCAGGAGCCAACGTACTCTGAGACCACAATGCCAGCTCCGTTTCATGGCCAAGTCTCTTCTTGAGTCCCCTGGGGGACCACATCTTGGAGGAGCCCAGCAGGCAGGGTAGGGCAGAGGTCAGGAGAGTGGGTGCCCATCCAGGGGACATTAGTGGCTCACATCTGAGGGACTACCAAGGTAGTCCAAATGGGATAAGAATTCAACACCCACTGGGGGTGGTGGCACTCGCCTATAATCCCAGCACTTGGGAGGCTGAAGTAGGAGGATCATTGTGAGTTCAAGACCAGCCCAGACTACAAAGTGAGTTCAAGGCCAGTCTGAAGTACATAGCAAAACCATCTCAAAAAGACCAAAAAAAAAAAAAAAAAGCAAGTTTCCAGTATGCTAGTGAGCAAAATACACACTACATTTTAATCATTCTGTCCTCTTTTTTCACTCTCATTGGGATAGAAGTGGGAAGGAATTTCTGGGCCAGCTGCTTCCTGGGAAAGATAATATATTGAGGCTATTTCTTACTAGTAGATCACTCTTTACAATAAATAGGGGAAGATGATATGTGCAGAGTTTGTCATTTAGGTGCTAAGGGAATCTTTTATCCTAGCTTGTTATCAGCACTGCAAAGGCCACATTGCCTGATTCTAACTACAGAGCTTGCTGAAGCACCAGGCTCTGGCTGGACCAACCCTCAGGTGGGCCAGATTCCCGGAAGGGAAGGGAGCCCAGCACTCACCGCATGGGCTGCACCTTTGCATCCAGTGAGTGCCACCTGAGGTGGCCCTGCATGGGCCTCGGCTCCCATTCCTTTGGCCAGCTGCAGGAGACATTCCCTGTGAAAACACAAGCATTTGTTCTCACACTGGGCATGCCTCTGGGCTCCCTGACTGACTGTGCTCTGCACACAGGAAGGCAGGAGGCAGCAGGCAGACAGAGACGGTGGGGTGATTGTCAGAGCTTGCAGATGAGAGCCAACACTCCAGGGAGGAGGCAGAGTCTTTTTGGGGGGTGAGCATAGTCCTGTATTCCGGGTAAGGGCATTTGCCTTTGGTTTGCCTTTTTCAGAGAAGCCCTTTCCTCCTGAACCGCAGGTTAACTGAGCATACATGACCATATACACCTCATTCTACCCACAGTTCCCTCTGGCTGGCACGAGAAGCCTTCCATTTCCATGGGAATAGCCACAGCATTTCCCCTTGATTCCCTAGAGCTCCTCTACTTTTATCTTTTTCATAACATGCTTATTGGTGTCTGAAAAGATTTGGCATAACGGGAGCAGTGGCGTGCACCTGTAAGCCCAAGAAGCCAAGGCACGAGGATCACCTTGAATTCAAGACCAGACTAAACTATGCAGCAAGAGTCCATCTTAGAAAAACAAAACACAAACCAAGCAACCAACAAATCAAATACACACACACATATACACAGATATGACTCTTGGGCCCATAACACTAATATGTCAGTCAGCTGAGTATCTGTCTGTCCTCCATGGCTTCTCCTCTTCCTGTCCCAGAGCTCTGACCCTCTGGTTTTGTAATTGTTGTTGGTCAATCTGTTGCTTGCTTGGTTGCTTAGTTGTAGCTGTTTCGCCTTCCCTCTCAAATTCCTTATTTGGGTATAAAAATTCAAGTCTTTTGGGATGAACTCTGATGTACATTTCTAGCTCCCACCCTGTTCACCTGAAATTCCCTTGAGCAGTTCAGGCATAACTGTTAAAAACAAGTCAATGAGGCAAATGCAAAAGAAATAAACATTCATAAAAGAACTCGTAATAGTTTCAAAAGTCTTTTTGAGCAACAGAAAATCTTAAGGACGCATTGTGTTTAAGTAAGCAGTAGGTGTGCAGTAAGTAATCCAGGTCATTTCTAATCCGGATTGTTTCTAATCTGGGTTTTGCTGGTGAGTGTGGACACGCGTGCATGTCTAGAGGGGAGGAAGTGGGTCTGTGTGCAGAATTCAACTCTCAGTTACTGAGGGCTCCTCACCTCACTCACATGGGGATAAAACTAGAGCGAGGGGAAGGCAGGCTCCTTGCAGGGGGTTGTGGGATGTGTGAATGTATTTTTGTTGACTGGAAAGGTGGTTTTTGTAGATGCTTTCATGAAGGATGAATTTTGCAAGAAAATTTGTATGTGGGATCAAGTTAGCCAAAATTAGAAGGACATTGTTCAGAGTTTTATTTTCAGTCGAGCGTTGATACTGGAAGTGCACTGGGGTCATCCAAGTTACACTCTGATGGGTGAGTGGTTTTCTAGGGGACAAATATGCCCTCCCTTGGGACTTTGCTGGAAGACTTGGCTGTACCTCATCAGCAGCTGGCCTGGAAAACAGATTTTGTGATAACTGTTGTCCTTCATGCCTGGGAAGTCTTGTGCCATTTTGCAGTTATTCCATAATAACAAGAGATCCTATTTTTAGTTGTTATTTGATATTTTTTTTAAAACTTCCCAAAATCAAATTCTAAAATTAAAGCTGAGCCAGGCATGGTGGCATGTACCTGTAATCCCAGTACTCAGGAAGCGGAGTCAGGGGATTGATGTGAATTTGAGGTGAGCCTGGGTGATATAGTGAGTTCAAGGACAGCCTGAACTACGTAGTGATACTCTGTTTCAAAATGAATGGATGAATGAATGAATGAATGAATGAATGAATAGATAAATTAATAAAATCTTTTTGTCTTGAACTAACCTTGGGATTTTTAGAGATCCCATTCTTGAAAGTCCAAAAGAGATACGTTAGGTTTATTTTCATTCATTAAACTATATGGAAAGTATTGTCAAATAAAAGATGGTGCGTAACTTTTGAGTTATATTTGTATGAATATATTGTTAACATACATTCCCAAAAACTATGGAATTCCTAAGATCTGCCATCTCAGGATACTGTTGTTGGTCATAATTGCAGTTCTTGTGTTAACACTGTGATGCCTGCAGAGAGCACAATTTTCATCGGCTCTTAAACCAGGGCTGTGCTCGCTCTTGACACCCACAATTCAGCTGCCTGAGGCTGGTGCCTCCTGGAAGCAGAGCTTCAGCATTGGCAGGATGGGAGAACTTCGGCCAGTAGGTAGCCTGGTAGCAGAGGTCCGGAAAAAGCCATCTACCGAGCACAGGGAAAGCAGGAATTAATGACACAAAATTGCATGAAATGACGAAGAGAGAGCATGACTTTAAAGGCTTTTTGATTAAAACAGTGCTGACTCTTTTTGTGTTTTATTTTGCAGACTTTTTTTTTTTCACGATGTATAGTTTACACCAATTTGGTAAAATATGCTTTTTAAACAAAAATTGAAATATTTTACTTCTACTTTTTCTCCCTATGTTCCCAGTTTGGAAACTATTCCTGAGTATATTTTTATGGCAGTATGGCCATTTTCATAAGGTCAATAAGAGAACTGCTTTTAAGTGAGATTCAGCTGGAAACCCTGGCTTTTCCTGGAATCCTGCCTGGGGAGTTCACATGGAATGCCGACTCTCTGGCTTTAACCTCAGGCTTGTGAAAATTCCTTGCCAAATTCCTTCTCAAGTTTTCCACCAAAACAAGTTTTCAGTCTGTGGCTTTTCTGGTACAGTTTTGTAAACAAGCAGCAGTTTTGTAGGCGTTCTGCTGTGATGTCCTCAGTGGAAATGGAGAGGACCCCAGGGAGATCTCTCCAAGGAGTACTGGGGGCCCCTCTCCTCAGATCCGAGATCCGGGACTGTGGCTGCTTTT